GCTGTGTTGCATACACTAGGTTTGGAAGTTGCATGGGGTTGTTGTGATTGTTCATAGGGGGGAGTTGGAGGGAATGTCTGGGCACTCTATGAGTTAGTAATGCCAAGCGATTCCGCTTTTTTAAAGGCAGTAATAGATTTGGCATTGTCTTTTAGTGTGGTGTGTTTTAAAGTAGATGGGGAAAGCTGATTTGAAGGGGGGAATGATTGCAAATCTTTTGTGGAAGATTCAAATTGCATGTTATTGGGTGAGTTAGGCGTGTGGGAATAAATAGAGTCAGATTGATGAGCTATCTCTATAGCTATGTTCATTTGGACGAGCTCTGTTGACAAGTGTTGATCAATGTTATGTGTTTTTGGTGACTTGTTATTTGTGGAGTGCATTTTGATTGCATGCAGATTATGATGCTTAGCTAAGTTAGAGCTGTCAGTAGGATTTGGCAGCAAATCAGATTGCAAGTGCTTAGGGTTCTCATTATTTTGAGCCACGTTTATTACACGTGTCGCCTCCACAGTGGTTGGTTTCTTTGGTTGTATCGAAGAGTTGGGGCATGGGGTAGTGGGAACGTTTTGCAGGTCATTTGGATTGCTTGAGGGAATAATGGTTTCTTCGTATTCTTCTTGGAAAGCACAAAATTTATTATTGGAGCTTGGGTATTGGCTATTAATTTCTTGATTATTATCTGTAGGATTAGTGGGTAGTTGTTTTTTATTAATTAAGTTAGAGCTAGGGCAGTAGGAATAGTCAGAATCTTTGGATTTGAAAGCAAGTTTTTGGGTATGAAGGTACTTACCTGTGGCGGCTTCAAAGATTTTAACGTTTATACCTGGGTCTCCACCTTGTAGATTTGTGTGATTTTGGTGTTGTATTGATGTTTGACCTTAGTTCCTGCTCACAGTTTTTGGAGGGGTTCTCCTTCTCCTGGCAAATGAAACAGTTTGCCATTGTTCCTTAGTGTGGTTGATGGTAGTCACTGCTTGAGCTTATGCTTCACTGGGTGGAGATGGAAGCTTTGCGTGGGTACAGTGATGGATGGTATGGCCTATTCTGCCACATAGTTTGCAGAGGATTTGCTCTCCTTCATAGATAATCTGCTGCTTGTATTTACCTATGAAGATGCAAGTTTGGACTGGTTCATCAAGAGGCATTTCAACACACAGCCGTGCATGTTTTCCTCGTAGTGTTGCACTAGTGCATGCATCTATTTTCAGCAGTCGTCCAATGGTGTTACCTATTTTCCTTAGTATTACTGCGTCGTAAAATTCGGTGGGTAGTTGAGGGAGGCGATCCAAATAGCTGATCTTTCCTGTGTTGCCTCACTTGTTATGAAATTGGGTTCCCATTTATTTATAGAGAGAAAGTAGCCATTGACAAACCATGGCCCATTTTGTAGTGCACTGATCATGTTGTCCTCTTTGTTGAATTTCACAATAAAGTAGTCAGACCCAAGATCAATTAGAGGAAAATTTTCTGATGGTTTCCACATTTCTTGTATTTTCCTTTTTAAGTATTAATGTTGTATGCGCTTTCCTAAAAGCCCAATGATCAACGAGTATTTCCATGGTTGGTACATCCGATTTTTATCTTCTTCTGATAGTTGGATTGACCTTATGCCTTGGGATAGTTCTTTTGAGTTTATGCCCATGGTCGCCTCTGATGGAGTATGTACGTCTTTTCCAAATTCATCTTCCACTAAGTCGATGTTCATCATATACTTTGATAAGAGTAGTTTTTCTTTGAAGGAGGACTGCTGATTCTTTTCAGTAATAGTAGTACTAGTGCTAATATCTGGTGGTTTGGGAGGGATCTGGGACTGTTTCTTATCAGTTGTTTCTTCTTTTTCCATAGTTGTAATGAGAATTTGTTCTGGTGAGTTTGAAGATCTTAGAGCGAAGGGGGAGCTTCTCTCTCTAGACTCCTTGAGATGCCACTACTAAAAGTGAACAAAGAGAGTATTTCTAAATTCTAAGTAACTTTTGACTATGCTTGCAACAAATTTCAGTTGTCGCAGAATAGTACTTGGGTAGGTAAAATTTTAATTTGTGAATTTTGTATATTTCTTTGGTTCTAGAAAATAATTTAACTCCCTCAATGACTGGCTTTTATTGTTCTGCTGCAAGGAAAAAATGAAGTCTTTGTCTAAACAAATACGTTAAGAAAGAGCATATATATAGAATCTTTCAACGAGATAGTGTTTTTTCAACAAAGCGTCATTGCTCTAGTCATTTGTTGAGCAGCCAATGTTGTTAACATTTTAAAAATTAAATAAATATATTCATATTTTCTGTTTGCTTATTATCTATATATACATATCTAATAAAAATTTCAACGAAACTATTTTCCAATGACACCGCTTGAGGCAAGCAGTGGTGAAGTTAGGAATTTCCTCAAGGGTGTTCAAATTTAAAAGAAGTGAAAAAAATTTCTGACAAAGGGTGTTCAATACGTGTTATATACCTCAAAACCGTATATTTTACCTATGTATACAGTGTAATTTTTCGGCGAGGGATGGTCAATTGACCACCCTTATGACCATGTGGTTTCGCCACTGAAGGCAAGATATCCCCCCCCCCCCAATTTAAGCTAGTACAATTATGAAGTCGCATTTATAAGGGAGCCCTTTATTTTTAGTGTGGAATTTTCGAAGCGAATTCAGATTCTATTTGGCCAAGCTTCTTGGAGGCCAAAATTACTTTTCAAAAAATTTAAGCTGTTTGGCCAAGACGGAGAAGTACTTTTGGCCAGCAGCAGAAGCAGTTTTTCTGTTTTTGGGAAGAAGCGAAAAATTCTAGCTTCTTCCAAGAAGCAGAAGCAGAAGCAGAAAATTATTTTATTCAAGACAAAACTATCCTCACCATAAATTTATATTGTCTAAATTATCCCTTACTATTTTATGTTTTTTCTTTTTATTTTTGTTTCTAGTTTTTACCATTCTTTTAAAATTAAAGATATCATATACATGAATCATATTGTAATGTTCCAAATTCTTTATTGACTTTTTTTTTTGTGTAATGTCTTGTAACTTTCCAATTTATCTTCTTCTTTTTTCACACTAAAGCAAATTATGTACATCCTTCTTTGGATTATCAATTCTCTTCCTACAAATAATCATTTATAATTTCTTCTGTTATATGCTATTAGTTCCCGAATCTTTAAAACATTTATTAAATCTAATTTGTGAAATAGGTAATAAATTTACAATAGCATCGCATAATCTATCTATATTATTATTAAATGAATAAGAAAAAGCATCCACATTAAGCCAAGTGATAGCCTCACAATAGGCCATTTGGCAATTTAGTACAAAGTTAGTTAGGTTAGGTAATAATTAATTTCTTTTTGAATTTAGATTCTTAAAAAATAAAATTATACATTATGTGTTGTTAATAATTAGTTACTCTTTTTTGAATTTGAATTAAACCATACTTAAATTTTTTTTACAACAACAACAACAACGGTTATATTTCTGTTTTACGCTTAATGCCATTTTTCAAGTTTGACACTCATAATCATCTAGTTATAACTAGCATAGCTATACATAATTTCATCCGATAATTTTCTTCTACCGATAAGAAATTCAACTATTATGCTAATAAAGACATTACTGCAGAGATTGAGGAAAGAGATGAGCCTTCTGGTATTCCTTTAGAAATGCAAGGCAAGTCTTCTACTAATATGGAGGCATTGTGCGATAGAAGTAGAGATGAAATTATTGAGAAATGTTATCATATGTAAGTAAATTTATTTATTATTTCATGATGGATTATCAATATATAGTAATTTGTGGAATATACTACTAATTCATACTGAATGATGTATTTTGATTATTCAAATCATCATGTAACAATAAGTAATTATACAAGATAATATTATATGATTTGGTATAACTATATATGTAAAATTGATTTAAATATTTAATATGTATGATTACTTTATGTTTCATATTTTAATTAAATAAAATAAAAAATACTAAAAGTATCTTATGATAAATATTTAAGTTTATTTTTCTCTTTAAAATAATTATAAGACCTTTGTACTGTCCTTTTTGGTAATTTGACACTCAAAAGCACTTTTTTTAGGTAATTAACATTTTATTAATCACCAATAATCTTTACAATTCATAGCCTGCTTTATAACTCAGCAGCTATATCTATCGGAAAAACTCAAAATACAATCGCAAACCTACCTACTATGTCCTAGTGAAACATAAAATGTTGAACTAAGCTACTAATTCCTTTGGTAGCTCTCACATCACATATGTAGGCTATTTCTCTAGCTATGCTATCAACACTTCTGCTTCTCTATTGAAATATTCTCATGTTCCTTTCAATCCAAACACTATGTGTAACCTCTGCATATACCATTCTGTACAATTGAGCTCCATAAGACCTGCCTATAGCTCTCTGTACCATCCATTGTTGATGTTGCACCCAATTATCTCGAACTACATCTTGTCTTTGCATCCAGTGTAATATCTTCTGCCACACTGCCTTAGTAAAGGAGCAGTCCACAAACAGGTGTACTCTAGTCTCATCATGCAGTTGACACAGAGAACATTTTGAATCCACGTTTACTCCCTATTTAATCAATCTATCTGCAGTTAGAAGCTTACCCTGCAACTGTAGCCACATTGTGAATATGACTTTTGGTCTAGCTTTGTTTTGGAACATCATACACTTCCAGTTGACTCTAGGACTATTTCCCAGCAGCTGAATGTAAAACTGGTTAATCATGCTCTTTTTGACATGCTGCTTATGTTGAATTTGTTGTAGGATTGTTCTTGCACTTAGTATCTGTCTGACCATCCAGCTTGCCTGTTGTAGGATTGCCATGTCTTCTAGCCTCTTATATTTGATGTAGTATGCATGAATCCACCTTATTCACAGTCTATCTTGTTTACTTGGTACATCCCAACACAGTTTTGCTATAGCTGCCCTGTTCCATAATTGTAATTTAATCAAACCCAAGCCCCCACTTGACTTAGGTGTACACATCCTATTCTAAGCCACCAGGGACTTTTTTGTAATGGCATTGATCCCAGACCAAATATAACTTCTGCAGTAGGCCTCTATCATCTTCATAACTTTTACTGGTAAGTTGAATAGTTGTGACCAATAGGATCGAATACCAAATAGGACAGTTTGGACCAGCTGCACTATTCCAGCATATGAGAGCTTTTTGGCAGTCCATGAGGAAATCCTTGCAACTATTTTTTCTATTAGAGGATACCATTGTATCAAGGACAGTTTCTTGGTAGCAAGAGGAATACCAAGATATTTAAATGGTAACTCTCCAATTGTGTAGCCCAACTTTTGAATAATCTCTACCCTGGTACTCTGTTGAACTCCTCCAAAATACATTGAACTCTTCTTCAAATTTGCCTGTAAGCTAGATACTTGAGAGAAGTGGTTGAAGCATTCTTGAATATGAGAGACAAGGTTGAGATCACCCCTAGAAAATATCAATAGATCATCTGCATAGTTTAGGTGGGTAATCCCTAACTTTGCACACCTAGGATGGAACTTGAAGCCTTTCACCTCCTTTAATTTGTTGAGATTTCTACTGAGATACTCCATTACAATTGCAAATAAGAAAGGGGAGATGGGATCACCTTGTCTTAGTCCTTTAGCAACATCAAATGGTGGGGTAGTCTCTCCATTAACCATATTAGTGTAGTTGACAGTTGTTACACACTCCATTATCCAGTTCACAAATCTCTCTGGAAATCCCATTTCAATCATGACTTGCTTTAAGAAATGCCATTCAACTGAATCATAAGCTTTTTGGAGATCAATCTTGATCATACATCTAGCAGAAATATTCTTCCTTGTGTAAGCTTTGACTAGCTCATAAGCTAATATAATGTTGTCTTTTATCCTCCTACCTGGTATGAAACCAGATTGGGCTTCACTTATCACTGATGCAATAGCTTGTTGAATTCTGCCAGTTAGGACTTTAGAGATCTGTTTATACAACATGGTGCAACAAGCAATAGGTCTGTAATCTTTTATTGTACTAGGATTTGCCATTTTAGGGACCAATGTGATAGAAGTACAACTCACAGCTTTATATAATTTCCCAGTGCTGAAGAATTCTTTGACAGCTTGGCTAACTTCATTTTTAATAATCACTCATACCTTCTTGAAGAAATAAGCATTGTAGCCATCAATTTCTGGAGCTTTGTCACTATCAATAGCACATAATCCACTATAAATCTCTTTGTCATTCACCTCAGCACATAGGGCAAGTTTCTGCTGCTGTGACAAATTTGGACCATTCTTCATAATCATTTTATCTATGGTAGGCAGAGAGTGAGCTGTTGATCACATTAAAGACTCATAAAAATCTACCACTTCTTGCTTTATGCTGTCAGGATGGATAAGCTTCTCTCCCATGATTGAGACAAGTTCATTCATTTGTTTTCTCTGACTCCTTTCCTTCATAGCAGCTGCAAAATACTATGTATTAGAGTCTCCCAGTTTGATCCACTTGGTTCTTGCTTTCTGCCTTAATATACTTTCTTCAATAAGGGACCATTTTTCTAAATTCTGCAACAGGTTTTTCTCTTCTTCAATCAGAGAGTCATTATAAGCTGAATTTATCTTCTGTTGCACCTCCTCTAAGCTTGTTCTGGCCTGCTCAATCTTCATACTAATAGTTCTATAATGTTCAGTGTTTAGGGTCCTGAACAAAGGCCTTAGTTCCTTCAGTTTTATCCAGATGTTCTTCATTTTGCCCTTAGTAAAAGATTGATTCCAGATTCTTTCTACAATAGATATAAGTTTTCATAGTCCGCCCAGACATTAAAGAATCTGAAAGGTGTTTTACCAGGTTTAGGAGCTGGATGGAGAGTTAACACCATTGGACTATGATCAGATATGTATGGCAATTCATATTCAGTAATCACATGACCCCACTGCATCATCCACTCATAATTGTCAAAAGCTCTGTCAATCCTACTGTTGATCCTTTCTACACCATATTGCTTGTTAGACCATGTGTAGTAATCACATGTCCATGTTAGTTCATTCAGAGTCAGAGTAGCTACACAATCAGCAAAGTCTTGTACTTCAGTGTATGTAATGGGGTTGCCCATCAGCCTGTCATTAGTATATAGAACTGCATTGAAATTCCCACATAACAGCCATGGTTTTGTGTTTCGTGCTGCAATGTTCTTCAATCCACTCCATAACTGCTTCCTTTGTTCTATAGTATCGTATCCATATATAGCTGTAACTACACAATCAATTATCCCCCACCCTATCTTGTACCAAACAGTGTATAAATTGAGCTGCAACACTTATGATAGTAACATTGTACCACTGGGAATCCCAAGTAAACTATATCCTCCCATTTGAAGCATCCTGATAATTGGTAGCATAGTTCCAACCTGGCAGTATACTTGTTATAATTCTACTAGCATTATGTTCCTTAACTCTTGTTTCCACTATCACTACTAGCTTTATTCTTTGGCTACTAATATATTTTTTTAACTCTTTTTGTTTATACCTCTTATTCACCCCTCTAATATTCCAAAATAACCACTTCATCAGCAGGTCATTCTACTTCTCCCCTTATCAGGGGGTACACTACTAGTACACCATGATCCTTTATTCAATGGCTCAAAGGAATTCCTTATTGTGATGGCTGATAAAGCTGGAAAGTTAACCATATCCAGTTCAATCCTGCCCTCTATAGCTTTGCCTTTGTCCACTGGTTTTTCCATTACACACTGTTGCTGGGAGGGTGTCTGCATATTATCCTGCTGAACATTTGTCTGGTCTATCATTGGTTGTACATTCTCATTGTCTACAACTCCTCTTTGTCCGGGTATCTGTGGTTCAATCTGTTGTATGCTAGCCTCCTCTGATTGACTAACTCCTTCTTTCACTGGCCCTTTGGTTCTCCACTCCATTGTTACTTTCTTTGCTTCTCTTCTCTTGCCTTGCTGCTTATCTTGTTGCTTATATTGTTGTTGTTCCCCACCACATCTGTGCCCAACCACTAAGCATTTCTGGCAAAATTCAGGTTTCCAGTCATATCTAACATCCTGTAGGAATGTCTTCCCAGTAGGGTCCATTACCTTTATCTTAGTAGGCAATTCTCTGGTAATATTTGTTTCTATCAGCATCCTTGCAAATGATACTCTCTTTTTCTTTGCAGTACATTCATCTGCATAGATTGGAGTACCTATTGCACTAGTCATTCTACTCAAAGAGTTATGACCCCAGCAGTTCATTGGAAGATTAGGAAATTGAACCTATAGAGGGATTTCAGTTGGAAATTCCTCCTTGAAATCAAATTCTGGTGTCCATTGTTTCAATATAATAGGTCTATTGCTAAATGAGTAAGGTCCAGAATAGAGAATTTCTTTCATATCATCAATAGTTTGAAATTTGATGATATAGTACCCTTCCTCATGTAAATACAAATCCGGCTCCACCACAATCGCCCAATTTACCCCAATGAACCTTCTCATAGCATTATATCCTGGAGAGTCCCCAATTATATATGCTATTACCGCACTTCTCCATTTCTCTGGTTCCAGATCTACTTCCATTTTATCTAATTGTACCACAACTTGGCCTTCTATGATTTGTGGTGGTATGTAAGTTAAGGACATACCATTTTCCGATGCTCGATTCCTCTTAAACAGCTTTGTCCATGCTTTTCCTTGCTTATTAGTTGCTTCCTTAGGTTGATTATTCTCCATCATCAACACTTCACCAGCTGCATGTACCGGTGTAACTGTTCCATTGCTTGAGCCAGGGATCTCCTTGTTTGCATGTGGGATTTGCGCCACTACAAAGCTGCTAGCCGCCACCGGAGTACTTAGATCAAGCCTCTTCTTCACTTTCGTACCCATCAGTGAAGGTTCAGCTTCATAGCTTGTACCTTGTTCTACCTCTAGTGTAGCTTCTTTGTCCTCTAAATTTTCTTCAGCTTGAATTCGAATTCCCACAGAGCTACCATAGATAGCTATGGGATTCTTCTTGGGCCTTCCTCGACCCCGTCCGCGTCCCCTTCCTCTGGCATTCGCCGTGGAAACACCAGGCAGCGCACGTTAACTATCGTGCACCGAGAGCATATGCGAAGAGAGAGTTTTTTCTTAAAAAAAATCAAAAGCACTTCTTAGAAAGATTGGCCAAACATAATTTGTTTATCAAATGTTACAAAAAATACTTCTTAAATGAATTAGCCAAACACAAACTGTTTTTTTTTTTCAAAAGTACTTTCGGAAAAAATACTACTAAAAAAAAATACTCTTTAAAATAAGCAAATTTTGACAACTTGACCGGACGGGCTCTTAATTAAACTTCAATACACCGAGTGAGAAATAAAAATATAGCCAGTACAATTTAGTGGTTTCCATGTGACGACCTACTGATTTGCCTTTTCATTTTTACTAAAGCAATTGTCTACTCTTCCTCTCTTCTCCAGGGAAAAAAAGGTTGTTAAAGGAAATAGACCATCAAATCCATTACTTTTTTGATTTTACAATATGGATGATTTTCCCACAAGCATATATAATATTCAATTTTGGATATTTGAGTTTAGATTACATTTTAACTTATGGGGTTACACCATTTCATACGCTTTTACTCAATAATTTGATGGATCATTTAAACTTCGAGTTCAACCCTTTGAGTCAATTCACAAACGGATCACAATTCAATCAGCTTAAACTTGAGCAAAAAATAGCAGTTCGGTGCACAAAATATTTTGCGTTCACGCAAGATCCAGGGAAGGGTCGCTCCTTAAGGAGGCGTGATGTAGGCAACCTATCCTGATACAAGCATCAATAACTAATTTCATCGCTCGAACCCAAGACCTATAGATCACACGAAAACAACTTGACTGTTGCTCCAAAACTTCCCTTCTCATTTAAACTTGACCGAATTGAATAGGTTATTAAAACAAGAATTGATGGGTGTGTTAATACAGGGAGAACCAACTACTACTCCACTCTGAGAGAAAATATTATCCTATCTAACTTAAATTATTTAGTCTTTCAGTAAAAAATTGATGAGACAAATAATTTGAAAGTAGTTAATAGATAATTCTTTTTCTTTGCTTTAATCTAGTAATTTATAAAAGAATGTTCCAAACCTTCAATCATATCCAATCATTTGATTCCCCTAAGGTATCAAACATGATTTTCCGACCACCAAAACAAATATGGTAGATTAGAACAATTAATTAATCCTGTGGAGTTGTTCAAACTTAGCTGGCTATACTTTTCTTTCTAACTTTTTGGCTATTGTTACCATTTCTTTCTTTTGCTTTACTTGATTCTTTATATATTTGTAAATATACAACATTATATTTAGTCTCCAGAGCTTTGGTCTAGTTGTAAGAGTGTAGGTACATGATATGTTGAGTAGGCGCACATTTCGGGTTCAAAGTCTCGCGATAAAAACTTTATGTTTTTAGTTGCATGATACGTTGAGTAGGCGCACGTCACATATTCAAACTCCCGCAGACAAAAACCTAATATTTGTAGTTGCTTGATATGTTGAGTAGGCGTACGTCACGGGGTTCAAACTCCCGCGTACAAAACCCTAACGTTTGTAATTGCATTATATGTTGAGTAGGCGCACTTTACGGGTTCAAAATCCCTCGGACAAAAATCTAATGTTTGTAGTTGCATGATATGTTGATTAGGCTCGCGGGCGAAAACTTGAAGTTTGTAGTTGCATGATATGTTGAGTAGGCGCACGTACGGGTTCAAAATTCTGCGGAAAAAACCCCTGTTATTTAAGTAAAGAATGGTAGAAAAGCAGGCCAATTATCTATCGATTGTGGAATCGTATATGAGAAATTTCTTGGTTATAAAAGAAATATGATATTATAATTAAATTATTTGGTGATGGATTTAGGTCTTTAATCATTTAAGATAATTATTTGTTCTCACAAAGAGACAAAGGAATATGGGCCTATATCCTCGCAGTTCTTAGCAACTTCCACATGACTTCAACTTTAGAATATTATGGGAATAGTGCTATATACACTCATATGATTGGTATGTGCCAAAAATTAAATAAATTACTAATTGAAAAGTGGATGAAAAGAGTGAAATGTGGCTGTTCAAGTTCAATGAATTGAACTTCTGTCTATAATTAGACAAATATTAACCCACACTTTTCTACTTTCAAGTTGTAATAGATTACTATTTGGTTTCATACTACCAAATTCCTTATTAAATATTTAATTGAAAATTGAACATATCTCGAACAAGTAAACAACTCCCCCAAGCCTGGTATTATTATTATTATTATTATTATTATTATTATTATTATTATTATTATTATTATTATTATTATTATTATTTTGGAAAGAGGGAGATGAGGAAAGGAATGTTGAAAAAGAGGGAATCTTTTTTTTCCAGATAGAATACTTCACCTACTTAAAGGAAGCATACCTGTTGATGAAGAGTAAAGAAAGACATATTATAATTAATTTTACTATGTGACCATATCAAAATGTGAAGTTCTTCTTCTTCTATTTATTATTATTATTATTGCTATTATTATTATTATTATTATTTGTTTATACCACCAAATTTGTCCATGTTCCACGTTAGCAGGAGATGAGGGTTTCGAACACCTTATAAGTTCTCTCCCATCTCTCATTTAGTGAGACACACTTCAATCGATAGTAGTCGGACCAATACCTTGTTGAATAGACCGTGGGCAGGGAAAAGAATCGAGTCGACCAGGCTCAACGTTCAGGAGAAGCTAAATGAAATTAAGATCTAACTGAACGTATTGAAATATCAGCTCGTCGGACCCGTTGTATGAAGTACCGAAACTTATAAAATAGGTACATATGAGATAGTATTTTACGAGGACTTTGGCGAAGTCATCAACATAACAACAACGACAATAAAAATAATAGAATATTGAAAGGAAAAATATTGGAAATTTAATTAGTCTCATTTGGTTGTCCATATCAGTCACACCTAAGTAGAGAAATAAGGTTTTGGAAAAGAAAAGCAAGCTGTAAATTGGAACAGTAATTTGTATTACGCGGCGAAACTTTAGGGGGGGGGACTTTTTTCACATCTTAATTTTGGGGATTAAGGTTAATTAATTAAATTAACACTGGACCAATTAGTTCAAATGTCCTTACTTTAATTTAGACCGCTTTCACTTTTCTCTATCTCATAATATTACTCGATTTATATGATAAAAAAAACTTAACATATTTGTAAGCTAGCTAATTATAGAGAGGGCATTAATTGGAAGAAAAATTGCAATATTTTCTTTTCAAGAAATTTAGTTGCTTTATTATAAAACTTACTTTAGCCATTTCGGCAAAAATCATATGCGGGGCTAGGATTTAAACCTACGGGTTCAACTTTGAAGATTCTTAGCGAACCCATTATAATTTTAAAGCTATGGGCTCATATCTATTATTTATTTTAATATTAATAGATTTTATATATAAATTTATGATCCACGTCAAAAGTTATGGGTTCAATTGAACCTATACTTATAAAGCTACATTGGCCTCTGGCAAAAATTACTATACTAGAATTTTCCTTTTTAATTTATAGGTGTAATACGGTTTTCATTTCTTAAAATATTATAAAAGTAAAATGAAATGCCAACTTAGAACAACTAGCAGCCACAACAAACATACTGTCGTTAGGTTATTCCTTTATTCTTACGTACAATTAATTCTCTAATTTGGATAATTAATGAACTGTAATTCGAGTTATATGTGCTTTCTTCCTCAACTTCCACTAATTAGTTAATGAAAGCCTATAAGTTACCATCAAAGGATGTGGTGCAGTGGATGGAACTGCTCTTTCCTTAACCAGATGTCTCGAGTTCGAGCCCTGGATATGGAAAAATCCTTGGTAGGGAGCGTTTCACCCCGGATGGGCTCTACGCAACACGAATCCGGATATAGTCGGTCTCTAATGCAGACACCGGGTGAATAACCAAAAAAATAATTAAACTTTTTTTTAGTTGAAAATGATGTTCAAACGGAATTTCAAATATTCTTTTCAACTTTAATTTCAATAGTTTTTTTTTTTAATTTTATAAAAAATGGCTACACAATTTTATTTTTAAAACAAAAAAGGAAGAAAAGAAGGAACAACTTTTTCACCTTTTGTACGCTTTTGGACCCGTTTGTCCCCATATATATATATATATACATATATATATATATATATATATATATATATATATATAT